AGCAAGCAGTTTTGAAGAAGATTTTTTGAGTTGTTTTGCGTTTTTTTGATAAATTGAAGATGGCCGCCAACACCACTTGAAGCATGGAAAATATGTTCATGAACACATAATCAACTTATTGAAGGGATGTTGTATGCCAACTTTGGTTTCAATCTGGCAAATTTGACTTTTTACTAAATCCAAGATCTGCTTCAGTAACTTTGTAGAGCTATTGCCATAGGTGCTGCAGAGAGTTTTTTTGTCATTTTATTTCTTCGAAACAATCCTAGCTGCTGCATTCTGTACCCTCTGCAATCTAGATAGTTGGACATTCGTTATACCATAAAATAAACTATTGCAGTAATCAAGTCTTGATCCCACAAGAGTATAAACAATAATAGTTATTGTTCATATTGTTTTTTGATCTGGGAAATCCTATACAGATGATAAAATGATGATTTTGTTACCTGACTAACATGACTTGCCAATATTCAATGTTTATCAAACATCACACCCAGATTACCTACATCATTCCTGACAGAAATTAAAAAAATATCTACTTTGAGGGAAACTTAAGTATTAGTTTATTGCAGAACATGCAATCTTTCAGTTCACTGACATAATCCTTAAGATTAGCCATAGCTATGTCACAATCATGTACTGAGTTTGGATGAAATGATATGTATAACTGGGTATCATACAGGTGATATGATAGTACATAATGTTCTATAATACTACCAAGTGGGAAAATATACATGCTAAACAAAAGCGGACCGAGCACCGACTCCTGAGAAAGACCGTATTTTAACATTTTCATTGGGGATGTAGACCCTTGATCGAAACAGACTGCTACCTACTCGTTAAACCAAGCCAAGGCTCTCCCCGAAATACCAAAACATTATTCAAGTCGTTCTAATAGAACCTGACTATCAACAGTGTCAAATGCCGCACTCAAATCTAAAAATACTAAAACACAAACATTTTTACTTTCCATGGACATTGATTTATCATTTTGTACTTTGAGTAAGGCAGTCTTTGTACTGTGAAACTGTTTTTTATGCTGACTGAAATTTTTCCTCCTCCAGTGAGTTGTTCTTCAGTACGTTAATAGAAATAGCTTTTTCAATTATTTTTGGGACAAAAGAAACATTTGATACCGGTCCATGGTCAAGTCAAGGCCCTGATTTTTTAACAATAGCTTCTTTTAACCTTGATGGGAAGAAACCATTAGATAGTGAGGAATTAACAATACATTCTATATAACCACCAATCTCATCAATACATTGTTTTAACACTCGTAAGGGAAGGGGGCTAGGTCACATGACATGCTGGGTGATGCTTTGATTAGATTTAAATCATCAATAAATTCTTTGGTAAACATGGTAAACATGACGAATCAAATTAATAGGAACAGCAGTTTCATTAAATCTGGACCTTTTTACATTAATCTTGTTAATGAAATAATCATTGAAATGACAAGCCAATTCCAAATGTGAACAAGAGTCAGGATATGGTATTTCTTCCTTTGTGTGCAATAATATGTCAATTATGTGAAACAATTTCAAGTTCGTTAATGAGACCCGCAAAATACGCTTACATTTCCACATAAAACACTTCATGTTCGATCTCATA